CCCGTATTATTATACTGCCCGTATTGTTATGCGGCCCGTCTTGTCTGTTCTGTTTCGCTATGCGTGCCAATTTAGTGTTGATATTCTCGAGGGTTTCCTCGGGTAAAATTATCACACATATTATTATTCTGGAACAGCGGGCAGAATTCCATCGCCAGTCGCCTTTGATTTAGAGTTAGCATTGCGTGACGGACGTGTACAGTGAGAGAACACGATCTCGTTGTTGGTGGTGTGACAAAACAGTGGCTTCCTTTGAAGGATTGAGGTCGAAGGCCGACAATCGCACCTGCGGCCGAGGGGTACATTTTTGCGCGAAACTTAAGCCACATGTTGAGATGGAGCGGTAAAAAATTCAACTATGTCGGTTTTTCGAAAGTTTAAGCTTCCTCAGCTAATACGAAGAGGGTCACCTGGCAGCGAAATTCCAGAAGAGATTCCACGCTTCAAATGTAGTGAATTACCGGTAAAACAGAGAATAGGAAAAGTTCAGGAGATAGGAAGTGTCATACTGTTGTTGTTAAAAAAATGCTGTAGTTTTAACTTGGGGGCGGGGGACGTCCATTTCTTATACACTTAAAAGTGAGGAAGGTGATTGTGGAATTGTTCAAAGGAAGCCATTGTTTTGTCACACCACCAACAACAAGATTGTGTTCTCTCACTGTACACGTCCGTCACGCAATGCGCGCTAGGCCGAAAAAGAGAGTACGCGCCCGAATAAAGCCTGCTTAACCATATTGAGGCCCTAAAATATTCCGATCACTCCTTCGACAGGGATGTCTGTTCCAAACTTGGACTCAATGCATAGAAAAACAAATCCAAGAGCCGAGAGCAGTGGTGGCTGAAGAAAGACCAGGAAAAACCACGCGCGAACTGTCTTAACATATCAAAAGCTGACATAACAATTACTAGTGCTCGGGGTACTTCTACAAACGTACTTGCAAAGGATTGTCTGCTTTTGATAAAGGGTCTTCGTTTTCGTAGTACGAAAACAAAGACCGGGAGTCTTCGTTTGCGTAGTATGCAAACGAAGACCCTGCATTAGCCAAAAGAATTGCTTATTTTTTAACGAGAATTTTCCAGCAGAGAAAGCTTAACGACTGTCAGAATCTATTTTAGCTACGAAATACAGTAGAAATCGATTATTTATTAAATGAACCCAAGAGTCATTTTTTCCTGTAAAGAACGCTTTCTCTGTTATTCTGTAACGCAATGCTAACACTAAATCAAAGGCGGCTGGCGATGGAATTCTGCCTGCTGTCCTGATATGTGCGGTAAGTTTACCCGAGGAAACCCTCGAGAATATCAACACCAAATTGGCTCGCATAGCGAAACAGAACAGACAAGACGGGCCGCATAATAATACGGGCAGTATAATAATACGGGCAGTATAATAATACGGGCAGTATAATAATACGGGCAGTATAATAATACGGGAAGTATAATAATACGGGCAGTATAATAATACGGGCAGTATAATAATACGGGCAGTATAATAATACGGGCAGTATGATAATACGGGCAGTATGATAATACGGGCAGTATAATAATGGGAAGAAACGCGTGAAGTGTAATGTATTATATTACTAAGCGTTGTTACTGTTTAATGTGCGTTTAACTTGTAATTTCTACGCTTTTCTGTTCACAGGGTCTTCGTTTTCGTACTACGAAAACGAAGACCGGGTCTTAGGTCTTAGGTCTTCGTTTTCGAGGGTCTTCGTTTTCGTAACACCCCCCTAATATGAACTAACCCTATTTTTCGAATTAGTTCCGTTGAAAGCACGTCTATCGAAATGTGTATGCCTACATTGCACACGCCTTATCTATTTTAATTTCTTCAGTCAATGCAATTGAATTTAATTTCTCAAATACATGCGATATTTTTGAGGGTAATGGCAATATGTCGTTTCATCGGCCAGGTTACTTAGTTTCATTATCTAATTGTACTCAGTGAGTCCACTTCCCGGTGATATAGCGTATTGCTTCTGCATCGAGTTTCAACTTATTCACGTTTGTAATCAGGTTAATAGTATAGCTACGTCGGTAGGGTTATGCAAACATGCCGTGTTGTTGTGTTTCATTCTCGATGATCGCACTTTTATAAACTACGTGCTGCACTGAATCTAGAAATGGCTATCTGTATAGAATCTCTACCGTGTAAATGGCAAATATCTGCATCAATCTATTTTCTGAAGCACTAAACAGTGAATATTATCGATATCTCGCCCTACATTGAGAGAAGTGACATGACTTCGAGCTATTTTTTCAAGGAAGGACTTTGAATGTTAATGACCTAAATTTCGTGATGTTTGTGTGGTCTAGCTTTGCTTCAAGAAGGAGTTTAATGAGACGATGAAAGCGCCTCTACTAGTGGCGTCATAAAGGGATATGGAAATCATATACAAACAAGAGAATTCTCTTAATGCACCCTTGAGATGGGAATATTGAAACCGAAAAGGCACGTAAATTATTTTTAGTAAAAATGAATTACACGAGCTAAAAATAAAATGGCAAAAGCAAAATTCTCAATACGTGCTAACCACGTGAGAAAAAAGTTCACTTTGAAAACGTTGGGTCTAGAGAAACAAATGTAAACACCAGTAGATTGTCCCCCGAAAAATCCTTATCACAGGCCAGGACTGAGAACTGAGAACTGAGAACTGAGAACTGAGATATTTATGGGCTTTAACCCCATCAGCCCAAAGATCTCATAACTAATTCTCCTTACTGTTTGCCATACAATTCTTATGATGTCAGTGCAGAGAATTAGGTATTAGATCACCTACTAACCCCTTAATTGATATTTTTCTTTATTCTCATCACTTGTCTGCTTGATATTGTATTGATATTGTAAGGAGAAATTCTGTTTTGGTCTCTCATAGAAGTTAAAGGGCTAATTCCACCCTAAATCATCATGGTGCTTCGGCAAATCACAATTTCTCATCTCTGTTGTCAATGTGTTTATTTCAGCAGGCAGCACTACTCTGGAAGACAGGAAATATACCTGTCCCACAAAAAGTGAAACATTCGAATGTGACGCTGCAAAAAGGGTTCCCGAAAAATTGCAGAGGGGTACATCATACAGGATACAAGACCTGAAGGATCCGAGCGACCAAAAAGAATTAGAAATTTACTGCGCCGAAAAAAGATGTATCGTGAAGAAAAATAAACTGTATGGAAGAGTTCAAATACTGGAGTCAAACGCCACGAGACTGACCTTCAAGATACTGAAATTAAACGAGTCTTTGCGTTTTTCGTGTGATATACACTCCACACCTGAATACCAGTCCACTGAGTTTCATACCAGCGACATCACAACTGTTGAATGTAAGTTGAATTACCCTCAGTCGAGAAACGATTTAAATTTACTCTACGAGTGCGTGTGTGTGCGTGTGTGCGTGTGCGTGTGTGTGTGTGTGTGTGTGTGTGTGTGTGTGTGTGGTGTGTGTGGGGGGAAGTAGCCTTTCTTTACCTGTTTTATAAGGCGCCAGCTGAAAAACTGTGAGGATTGGTGTAACTGTAAGACCGAGAAGATATTTGATTTGCTTTGGGAATTTTATATTCTATTTGCACGATATTATCCAAATAAGAAATTGAACTACAATATAACTTCCTCTGCATCATTTTACTACATATTTACGTATTTTTATTGATGTATTAGCGAATTAATCTCAATTAGAGATGTATCATCAAGTAGATATTGCCTGCGTTCAATTAACTCCTTGACGTTAAACTATCCTGCAATTGAAGTCTCGCAAGACTCTCGGAGACCGGTCATTCTTCGTGGCCGCCCCCAAATTATGGAACGAGCTTCCTAATCATATCAGGGACCTAAATTCAAGTAATAAATTGAAGACCGTACGGCAATCNCAAATGGCGTCCGAGGTTGTATTGGTAAGAAGGCTGACCTATCTTGTCAGAGTTTCCAACAATTTCTTCAAACTCCAAATGGTTTGGGAGCGTTCTTGAAAAAACCTGATGGATCAGATATCACTTTCTGTAATGACAAAGGGAATTGCACCTGTATGGAAGAGTGTGGAGAGTACAAAGACAGATTGCAACCTGGATATAAATCAGTAAACATGAGAAACATCAAGAAGGAAGACGCTGAGGAAGATTTTATGTTTCATTTTGAACACAAAGATCCAGGAAAACAAACGCCCAGAAAATGTGTTTTCAAAATCGATCCTGTGGTTTGTCCTGGTAAGACAGCTTAGTGAGATGGTTTTTCGTTTCATTCGGGATAATGTTAACTTGGTCACGACTTTGTTATCCTTTATGGTCAGGCAAAACATTTTATACCGTTGGCTAAATTTTCGTGTCTTTCTCTTACTTTACTACAGATATTTATACCCAGTATCAAACTTGATAGGAAATACTATCTGTTGCTTGTAAACGCCGTAATGATAAAGGCTGGGCGATAATAAACTAGTTTGATGAATTACAATAGTTACGAACAGCTAAAATATTAAATACACGAGCATTGTAATATATCCCGACATACTGCTAATGAGGAGCTTGTTTATCCAGTTTAACACTTTTTTCTGCCGCAGGCCCACCAACTGGAACCCCAGACGTCACTGGAAGGTCTCCAGAAGAAAATAAAAGCATCGAAAAAGCACATAACGACACGCCAGGTATCTTAAAGGAGGCAAAAAAACTTTCCTTTCTGTGGGTGATACTGACAATCTTTATTTCGGATATAATAATACACATGAAAAAACTTACGCGCGTCTGACCGGCTAAAAACGAGTGCATTTTTCCTGTTACACGGGCGCAAATTACAAATAACGTGAGCTGTTAAAGTTTCGTCTGTCTTGACTTTCTCTGATACTTTTTCATGTATATCATTAACAAGGAACCACATGATTTCTCGCGCAATTTGGTGTAAATTTTCAAGGTTAACCGTAAAAAAATATACTCGTGCTTATCTGAACACCAATTGCACTCAAAATCATGTAACTACCTATACATAAACCAGGAAGGTGAATTTACTGCACTACCAGATCTGATCAAAGGTTCCGTTTTTCCTCTATTTACGAGGGATATTTAGATAGTTCTATGAATTCAAATAACTGTAAAAACTTCAAGAACGAGAAATTATACGAATGTTGTGAGAAATCACGACACTCTGCAAGTAAATAAGGAAGTTTGAATATCTGCTTAACATTTTCCTACCACAGGCACACCAACCAGAGCCCCAGAAGTAGTCACAGGAAGGTCTCTACATGAAAATGCCAGCAACATTACAAAACAGCCACCTACCATCCTGCATAACGTCACACAAGGAATCTCCAAAGTAACAAAAACACTTTTATTTGTGTGCTTGGTACTAGTAATTTTTATTTTCCCAAGATAGTGCGTGTGAAGGGTGAATTTAAACCCAACTCAGTCAACTGATGAACAGATCTGAGCAAACGGTCCGTCTTACAAAGACACAAGGTGTGGTCGAGGAATACCCACCACAGATCAAAGGATCCTCAAACGAATCTTTGAATCATCTGGAAAATGGAGCTCTTACAATGACCAAGATGTTGTATGTCTTGTGGGGGAACTACTGCTACAAGTATTTCGCACGATTCTACGAATAAAAGTGTTGTGCAGCTATTTGGAGGTTTTTGTAAACTCGGCAGTCCTGTACGTATCTCCTCTTGCTTCCTTTTCCGTGTGACGAAATTGGGGACCAAAACTGAATGTAATCAGAATGTTCACGAGAGTAACACTTCTGTACTGTGTATGAAGGGTGGCCGATGCAAACTTTCCATCGGACTTGATGTTAAAGGCAATATCCATCATATATCTCCCAGTTACGATTTTAGATCAGTTGGCGAGCACGTACTCACAGGTAGCCCGCCGAAGGTCGCAGAATGAGGTTCCGAAAAGTGGACATAATTAACAATTATTTACCGAAGTGGAGGTGAATGTTATTTGCTATTCACTTCCGAATTAGCCAATCAGCGGGCGCGAAAGCACTATTTACTTGTTTGGCTATTTATATCAATTATGTTTATGTCGCACAGTAGGGGAAATGTTGGGATTTTTATGGGAATAACTTAAAAATCTAAGCTAGTTTAGAATGAAAGCGAAGTTATCTCGCTAATATGTTTGTCTCTTTGATTCACGTGAGTTTTCTAGGCTGTTTAACGGCCGTTTGAACTTGATAAATCCGGAATGCTCAAGTGCAAGTACGTTGTGTCATACTCAATGTGACTACATGTAAATATATCCTAATGATATACGAAGTTGAAATACATTTAAAAACTCCTGTGTGGGTCTGCATTCTCGAATTCCATTGGTCGTTGAATTTGCGGCCTGCGTGACTAGATAACTTTCGAAACTGCGAAAGGGAAAAAACCCAACAAAAAAGATATGAGTGTCAGCAAACGGAACAGGAAAAAAGTTGGACCTCGCATTGATGAACGACAGTTATGGCAAACAGAATTTGGAGAGCATGTCTAAGTTTATACCTTCTTGTCACACTGGTGAGCGTTTTCAATGGTAAGTGTTTTGATACCCTTGTGTTAGAGTGTGACGGTCTTTTCTGTTGTAAATTCAAAGCAGCCAAACCGCGTACTGACCTGTAACCTAAGGCGGCAGTTGACACGAAGGGTTACCTTGCATGATCCTCCATAGAAACAAAATATTTGAGGTTTGCATACAATTCGACTGTTGCAAAGAACTCATTTTTCGTACTCCGTGAATTTCTGAACCCCGCGAAACAAAAATCTTGGAGGAAGCCTTAAATAGGAAACATTTCAAGGTTAATTTCGACGGTAGACCCAATGAGTCGAGAAATCAGATTTACAGTCATTATTAAGCCTTTAAAAGACTTCTATTTATTTGTCCCATGGACTACCCAAATGGACTACCCAAATGGACTACCCAAATTGACTTCCCTAAAATGGACGTACAAACCCTATCTCGAATGAATTCTATTGGAGGCACTGCTCTCTATATACTTACAATGCATATGCCTTATTTATTTAACTCTCGTCATTCGATGCAATTAAATCAAGTCAGTAAACTTCTCAAATGCATGCGATATTTGTGAGTAATAGGTAATCGTTTCTCAAACGTCAATTTCGAGTCAGCGTGGGTAATGGCAATATATCGCTTCATCAGTCAGGTTATCTAGTTTCACTATATATATCTTATTACACGTTTTGTTGTGTGGTATCACTGAGTATTTTTATGAGTTGTGCCGTATTTTGACGAGCCCGTAAGGCGAGTCAAAATACAAATAACGAATAAAAGTACTCAGTGATACGACAC